GGGGGGGGGGATATTGTCGTTTATGTTTGTCTTCATTTCTCATCGAAGAGTATGCTGTAATGTTTACGTTTTTCGCTGTGGCACGCAAAAGGTGTGAGGTCGATTCCGGAGAGAGGAAAGTTATTCTGTCGAGTATCACTTAGTGTAAACTGTTCTCGACAAGCAAGCAAGCTCGAAGCAGCCCGTTTCCTAGACGGTCTATGTTGTGTCGATTTGCGGACTATGTTCACCAGCGTCTGTAGTGTAGGTGCTAGGCGCCTGGCTGTCGCACGCAGGAAGCCCGAGTTCGGTTCTCGAATTGGGAGAAAATTTTATCTAGCATCTCGGTCTTCCGGGTGGGATGTTGTGTATCCCACTCAGTCCGGGTTAGCCCTGACAGACAGTGTCGGAAGCCCGCTTCCTAAATGATCAAAAATGGTGTGGATAGGTGCGTAAGAACAACACCGTTTATTGGTTTTAATCATGCTGTTCTTTTCGTGTTTCATTGCGAGTGTTTTGTAATGATTCTGCCGAACGCCAACCGAAGGCGGTTAGCGGTTGGCGGGTGCTGATCTGGTGTGATTTGCTCCTTCTTTCCTATCAAACATGTGCCATCCTTATATTCGCTCCTGTTCTGTTGTGTTTATTATCCTCTTGCAACACCTAATCTTCAGCACGTATTTGTCCTTATTGTGTTGCGAACAACATTAAAAGACTTAGGTCTGGGTTTCCGTTACGGGTATTTCTACGGTGTATTTACTGAGTTTCTCCGTCTTTCAGTGAGTGATTAGCACCGGCTCTTATATGATATAACAGTGTATGTTTTGCGTTTTTATCGCGGGTGCTTGGCTGGTTCCCTGGTGTGGTTTGCACCTTCTTTTCTGTCAAACGTTTATCGCCCATATCTCTCTTCCTTTTCTTTTTATGTTACTGCCTCATTCAAATGTCCCAGTGTTCTCTCGCTCGCTTTTTGTTATGTGTGTATGTGTTTTTTGTTGGTTTTTTAAAAACTTTATTTCGGGTTATAGGTGTTCACCTTTGTTTTTGTTTGTGGGGGTGCTGATTTGTTTGTTCATTTGTTGTTGGGTTTTTTTTTATGGGGACGACTTTTGTTTCGATTAAGTTGGGGGGGGGGGGGGGGGGGGGGG